CTGTACCTTACAAGTTTTCCCTCTGAGGCCAACTTAAGCCAATGCCTCTCCCAAAACCTTGCTTGGGACTGGTGTCTTTTGTTTTATCGATAGGCTCCTCTCTTCGATTGCGACACTTACACGCAATAATATGCAGCAAAATGAAACAAAGTAACAGCTCCGTCAGTGGGAAAATGAAGCAAGAAACTAATGAAAACCTATGAAAATTAAGATAACGGCCTAACGTGTAGATCACGAGCTTACATATAAAGCACAATGACCCAGTAAATGTTTCCTAAAGCAAGTGGCTTGCTTGCGCCATCAGGAGCATCTGTTACTTATGTTCAAGACATATTTACCTAAACTGAGATGTAATTGGAATGGGCAACAGCGCAGTATCCTAGGAGCTTCAAGGAAAACATCGTATTGTCTTTCTCAAAACTTTTAAAAAATGTTTTGAAAGAAGCTACATGCATTCTCCAGAGAAGCGGCATTCACAAGTCTGGATGCTAGAGTCACAGATCCAAATTTCACAGTCGTGGTGGGCTTGGCAATTAAGCTTAAAGCTTTTAAAAATGACTTGAAACTGACTGTGGAGTGTACGATAATGAATGTATGATTTGTCTGTGCATTGGATGCCTTTTTGTTTTGGTCGCATCCGAAAGATTCCGTATCTGCCGTTCATTTCTCTATTTTTAAAAGACTCTGAGATATCCCAAAACACGCTATAAGTTGTAGCCTTGGATGCCTTAATTTTCTGAAGCTGCTTATACACATTTTTGCTGAAACTTTCAGGATGGGCGTAAACACTAGCAGTCTGGTGTGAGCGTGACGAATTGTGGTGGAAAACGTGAACTACTGCAGATATGGCAGGTGCGTGGATGACCAGGAAACGCAAAGGTAATTCTTGGAATGAATACTACGAAAGTAGTTCTTCCACAAAGAGATCCCAAAAATCATACGTAGGTTTCTTTTAGATGCCATTTTATATTCTAAAAAGTGTAGAGTTTTCTCTAGTAACATGCGAAAATAAATCCAGTTAACGTACCAGGCTAATAAATCTGGTTAACATAACAACGTACCAGGCTTCTTGGTGTAACCACGCTTTTTTGCGTGAAACGTGAAGCTGTCAAACCGGTAACAGTATGAATGGCTGGAAAGCACCAGGCGGGCCGGTGCGATTATGCGTTTTTGCACTTTTCGCATCGCAAGGAATCACAATAGCTAACCCTGTGAAATACTGGCCCTCGAAGTTCGGGAAATTAATTGTGCAACTGTGTGGTATGTCAGTTGTAAATGTCGACTTCAGTGACTCGATAAATGGAAAGTTGCTGGTCCGCAAAAAAGTCACACTAGAGGAGCTAAATTTGAAATCTTTTGATCACACATGAGTGGGGAACATTCCCGTAAAATTTGAGCTTTCTAGCTTTTCCCGTCCCCAGGTTAGTAATTTTCGCGCCAAAATTTCCACGTGCCTGTACGTGGGCTCCGGGCGCTTCTAAACACCTGATTTTGCTCGCACATGAGTAAGGAACATTCCCCTGAGGTTTCAACTTTCTAGCTTTTCTCATTCTCGAGTTGTGAATTCTCCCGTCATAATTTTCACCTGCCCGTACGTAAACCCCAGGCAGTCCTGGGCAGCTGAATTTGAAATCTTTTTGTCATACATGGGTAGGGAACATTATCCTAAGGCTCCAACTCTCTAACTTTTCTCGTTCCCGAGTTATCAGTTCTCCCGCCAAAACTTTCACGTGCTCGTATGCGGGGCCCAGACGTACGCGAGAGTTGATACTGCGGTTCTGGAGTGGCATTTGCCTGGGGAACACACTGGCAAAATTTCAGCTTCAAAGCTTGCGTGGTTGACGAGTTGAAATACCTGGACAGACGAACAACACACACACACAGACACAAACATACACATACACACATACTGACAGGGTCGTTGCAATATGCGTTTTTGCTGCGTGTTGCAGCGGTCTAGCTCTGCATGGCAAAAACGCATAATAACAGTATTGAGTAACACATGATAATTTAACATGATGTTTTAGAAAAGGAACCGCTTGGTTAATTGCGTTTTTTGAATGGAACCTACGGGGCGGAATTTGTCTGATCAGGCAAATTTTTACCTATTCTTTTCCATGTTGTTAAGGAGTGGTGTATTCGATATAAGAAGTTCCAGGTTGAGAATGCGAAAGCGAGAAAAAGGAAAAGGGTTGAAAGCATGACAAGGATATTCATACCCGCTATGTGCTGCAGCTTGGACTGCTGGGTTTGCGGCCATGCTGTGAGTTGTTGGCCTGGAGAGAAGCAGCAGCAAGGCTCTCACGCACCACTAGCACTCATCCATAAATGGTTGTTGGCTTGAGGCACAAATTTTCCCTGCCTCGCAGCCCAGTCTGGGCGGAGTCTACATCATCATGGATTGTCGTCTCGTCCCTGCTGTCCCTGTGTGTGCGATCTGCACAGCTTTGCTTGCATCCCTGGATCCTAAAGCTGCATCTTTCAGTTGTGGCTTCCGTACACTATGGAAGGACTGGAATCTAGTCCGATGACCAACGCATCGTCTGATCCCCTGTTATCATCTACGATACGGAGCAAATCGCCGAAACCCAGCCCGGCACCGGATGTGTACCGAGGACATATTCAGAGCGACAGTGATTTTCCTGGACATGCCAATCGGACAAGTCCTCGCTGTCAGAGTGCATCCAGTACAAATGCTTCCAGCGTCGGTTTCAACCAATATACAACTCTTACTCCGCTCCAACCTCTCCCACCCATCTCAACGGTAACCAGTTCAGTCGAAAAATTCGCGCCTTCGTCCAGTCCGGTAGCTAGCGATGCGTCTACCTGTTCCACATCTGCAAATCTCTTCTTTCAGCAGGCTCCGACGAATCCTGTCCCTGGCTCGCTGAATTTCGGCTCATTTGCGTACAATGTAAATATCAAATATGTCTACGATATGAAGGATGAGCCGCATGTACCGGATCCTCAGAGCGTGTCAGTTTCGAACAGTGGAGAGACCACTGATTATACAACATCGGTCAGCACGCACCAGCAACTACATCAGCTAATCGCAGGATCACCTTTCCCACCCAGCCAGCCTTCTTTTGTGCCGTCCTACTTAGAACCGAAACAAGAAAAAATTGAATTCATCAATTCCAGTTCATATGGCACTTTCAACGGCTCAGCTGACGTTTTAGAAGCGGTACCGATTGGAGCTGTGGAAAGGGTTCGTTTTCCTAGAACTTTTTTCTTGTGATACTGAAATTTACATATTCCTCTTTTACACATACCGGTCTTCGATGTGCCGCAGTTTCATTTTTTGCTCATTTTTCGCAACCCTGACATATACTGATCCAATTAATTAACGGCGTGTACCAAAAAATTAACACAAGCATGTTTTTCGCTTAGTTAATGAGATGTACTAAAGTGTGCTTGAGGTAATACATAATGCATAATGAACTTTCGCATTAAGTCAAAATTATTCAGCCATAAAAATCTTAAGGAACTGTTCGGATCCAAAGCTCTAATGTTGATTTTAGCAACTTAGCCTAGGGAGAAACAATGGTGCACAGACAGCGTATGTCTTTTCTTCTTCGTTTTAGCGAGTGTCCGATTAATCCTCATTTTTTTTGTTAAATTAACGTTCAGAAAGGCATTGCTGAGATACTATTTCTGTCTGCTTTGCATTATATACAAACATAAATAAATAAATAAATAAATAAATAAATAAATAAATAAATAAATAAATATATATATATATATATTTATATTTGGCGGCATTCGCAGTTACCTAGAATTCTCCCAATGTAGTCATACCCTAGCATTTCTGTTAATTGTTTGTTTTATATCATGCACTGCGTTACATAAACGCTAAAAATTTCAATTTTGTAACTGGGCATGTTCTAGCAATGATTCGAGCTTCGACTGTATGAGACTGATAGTACTTAGGTCTTATAGTCGTTTTTTCCGGTCCGTGGGGCCGTATGTGGTTGATGTCTGTATATCCAAAAAATCGCTTTCTAACTTCCCCTTTGTTTTGATTTAAGTTGTGCAAACTCATGCACAATAGGCGCAGCAAACAGATCATTAAGCCACCGTAGTGCACTGTTGATTTTTCCGAGGAAATAAAAAACGTGAAAATTTTTCTTTCTAAACATTTCTTTTACGAAAATTTTGTTACCGATAGTTTTTTAGAGTGATGCTTCGCCGATGCAAACAGAGACAGTCCGGCAGCCAGAATCGCCAGATTCCGGAAGCGATTTAGAAGAACTTAACACAAAAGAGCTAGCGCAAAGGATTTCTGCGGAACTCAAACGATATTCGATTCCACAAGCAATTTTTGCACAACGTGTTCTGTGCAGGTTTCTTCCAACGCTTTAAAGTGCTTGCGTGGTTCATTGGGATTCATCGCAAACACGAACTACCTTTCACGAAATATTAAAAGCAACGAGATTTGTTGTCCATTTTCTTATTTTGGCTGCCATCTAAATAGAAGTTAGGATTGAAGTAATTTTGCCATCTGGTCTGTAAGTACAGCTGTTTACTTTAGGATTAAATGGACTACATGGATTTTGCTTCTATTGGCGGGGGTAGAAGGATGAGAAAGGAGGAAGAAGGCTAAAGAAGTGCGGAGGATGCAGCTATAACTGAACTGAGTCAAGCTTATTAACGCTTAAAATAGCAAGTATTGTAGACAGAAAAGCATTTGAAGAACTGAACTACTACAAGATGGGTTAGTGCATATAAATTATGAGGGTTTTATGTGTGAAATGTATATCATAAGTCCGATTCCGTTGCAATACGAAATTGAAACGTTTTTGGATACGGGGGGAGATAATTTCCAAAAATCGAGCATTTGTTACGCCATATTTTGTTGGCAGAGTTAGGACGGTAGTGAGCACTGTCGTTCTATCCAGCAGTTTATTGTCAAGTAAAGAAAGTTAGGTCTGCAAAGTATGTTACGGTGGCAAAGCATTTTCAAAGATGAAATAGTAATTTCAAAGCCTTTTAGGGCAGTCACTTTTTCAGTTCATTACTAGAGCAGAGTAGGGAGTAAAAATCTCTTGCAAGCAGAAAAGGCTGTAAAGGACAAAAATATATTATAAAAACCCAGGCTGGAACGCGCCGGGCGAGCCGGTGCGAAAATGCGTTTTTGCATCAAACTTTGAGGTACTCCCTCATATTTCCCTGCCCTTGCCCCACCCCTCCACTCGATGTTTCCGCCCTTCCCCCGCCCCCGCGCT